CTTGAACCCAGGAGGCAGAGGTGGTAGTGAGTTGAGATCATGCCACAGAACACCAATCTGGGCGACAGAGCAAGACTCCGTCTCCCCCCACAAAAAAAAACTAATTGTAGGTATAATTACTGCTAAATACCCTGAAAAGAATGAACTCCTATTCCTCTAGACATTTACACCTCTCAGTTAGCAACGGCCCCTGACCGTGTGTCCATCTATCAGGGAATTCTTCAAAATAGCCATGGAGCGTCTGTTGCAGGCAAAGCACATGCAGACGTTTAAGTCACAGAGAAATGTTGAGTCAAACAATTTATCATCTAACTGGGACAAGGAGAACTGAACAGTAACAAGATAGTTTGTGATCTTTGCCCCATGACTGTTGTGGAGGAGGGAGCCTCCACCTGCCAGGATTAAGGCCATATCACGAAGGACTGGGAAAAGGCACTTCAGCCGGGACTGGTGAATTGGAGGGGTGAAGGGGACCAGGCAAGGCATTCTGTGGGGTGGGGGAGCAAGTATAATGCTCTCTTTTGATGCTTTTACTTAGATTTTCATTTGCAGACCCATGTCACTCTGGAGGGGTAAGTGATAAAGGCGAGGTGTTAATTTTGAAAAATATTTTATTATTGGCTGGGCACAGTGGCTCATGCTTGTAATCCCTGCACTTTAGGAGGCTGAGGCGGGTGGATCACAAAGTCAGGAGTTTGAGACCAGCCTGGCCAATATGTGAAATCCCGTCTCTACTAAAAATACAAAAATTAGCCAGGAATGGTGGTGTGTGCCCGTAGTCCCAGCTACTCGGGAGGCTGAGGCAGGAAAATCACTTGAACCTGGGAGGTAGCAGCTGCAGTGAGCTGAGATCGCACCACTGTACTCCAGCATGGGTGACAGAGTAAGACTTCATCTCAAAAAAAAAAAAAAAGATAAGAAAAAATGTGATTATTTATTTATTTTGAGATGGTGTCTCACTGTTGCCCAGGCTGGAGTGTAGTGGCCCAATCTCGGCTCACTGCAACCTCCACCTTCTGGGTTCAAGTGATTCTCCTGCCTCAGGCTCCCAAGTAGCTGGGACTACAGGCATGCACCACCATGCCCAGCTAAGTTTTGTATTTTTAGTAGAGATGGGGTTTCTCCATGTTGGCCAGGCTGGCCTCGAACTCCTTACCTCAGATGATCTTTCCGCCTCAGCCTCCCAAAGTGCTGAAATTACAGGTGTGAACCACCATGCCTGGCCTATAATTCTAAGAAAATTATTCAAGAATGAGATCAAAAAGTCTATTTGGCTTCTCCAGCTTGGAGCACTCAGATATCACAGGTGTGTCCACAGCTAGTAAGATTCCTTTGTGAGGCATAGATAAAATGTCAAACGCAGTATGATAAACTGTTTCTATCATCTCCTCCCTCCCCACCACCACCACCACCACCAGCAGCAGCAGCAGCAGGCTAAAACTTCCTGATTTCCTAATTTTCCCATAAAGGAACATTTTCTCCCATGGGTCAGAGTCAAATGAGGAACACAATGGCAGTGTCAGCTCCTGCCCAGGGTGGTGAAATGCTGCTTCAGCCTTCTCCCCATAGTCCCAGCTTTGAGTGTCCTCCTAAAGAATCTTTTCCCTAAGAGGTGTTAAATTTGTCTCAAACTAAATTTAAAAAATTTTAAATAGATAATTCATCTACATGGTAATCAATTAAAAAAGTATAAGGGGGTACAGAGAAAAGAATAAGTGTCCCTCCTACCCCTGTCCTGACCCCCTAGTTCTCCTCCTAGGAAGTAGCCCCTGTTGCCTTTGAACTTGCTCTTAAAGTAATTTTGTGGCCAGATGTGGTGGCTCGTGCCTATAATCCCAGCACTTTGGGAGGCCAGGGCGGGTGGATCACTTGAGCCCAGGAGTTAGAGACCAGCCTGGGTAACATGGCAATACCTCGTCTCTACTGGAAATACACAAATGAGCTAAGTGTGGTGCTGCTGCCTGTAGTCTCAGCCACTTGGGGAGTTGAGGTGGGAGGGTTGCTTGAGCCATGGCTGCCAGGAGCCATGATCACACCATTGCACTCCAGCCTGGGTGACACAGCGAGACCTCGTCTCAATAGAAGAAATAAAATAGAATAAAATAAAAAAAGTTAGTTTGTATTGAACGAGCATTCCTGAGGCACGCCATAGACACTGGGGACACACAGAGACATTATAGCAGCCTTGACCACGGGCTTCTCTCTCTGGGACAGCAAAACCAGAGGCAGGAGAATGCTCACGGGACAGTGTGCTCGTCATAAAATCAAAGTGTAATACACAGAGAATGACAGGTTCCTTTAAATTAGCTTTACTTATTTAGATTGGGATTGGAGGAGTTGAATTTTGAGCCAGATATTGACATGAATTGGAGGTTAAGAAAGAAAGAAGCTAGGGAGCATTCAAGAAATCACTTTTAACATTTCCTGAAGAACATTATTTCTCATCTGTGATATCTGCCACTTTCTATCTGATATTATATTTATGTATATATTTATAGCATTTCTTTTTTCCTGTTTTTGAGACAGGGTCTCACTCTGTCATCCAGGCTGGAGTGCCGTGGCATGATCTTGGCTCACTGCAACCTCTGCCTTCTGGGCTCAAGCCATCCTCCCACCTTGCCCTCCCAAGTAGCTGGGACCACAGATGTATGCCTCCGCTCCTGACTAATTTTTGTAATTTTTATAGAGTTGGGCTTTCGCCATGTTGCCCAGGCTGGTCTCGAACTCCTGAGCTCAAAAGATCCACCTGCCTCAGCCTCTCAAAGTATTGAGAATATATACCCAGCTATATATTCATAGCATTCTTATTTTGTAGTATACATCATTTATTTATTTATTTTAACAACTGCGTTAACTGATGTGGTATATATCTTATAGGATAGTGTCTTGTAGACTGTTATGTGAATAGAGTGCACAACCTGTACATCTGTACACATTGGCTGTCTATATGCCAAGACTGTCCTGATTGTATTTGCAGCCCCTCACCATATACTTACTGAATATTCTACTTTGAGGTAAAGTGGACAGCATCACAAACCATTATGGCTAGGGCGCAGGGTTGGAATAAAGAGAGGAAAAGCTGGAGCGATAAGCAGAGGCCAGAGGAGTGAAGGCCCTGGTAAACCTTGCAGGAGTCCGGCCTTGCTCAGGAGGGCAGCTGTGGGGCAGTGATACAACCCGACTTGCATTTCAGATGGACCACTCTGGCTGTAGCCTAGAGAATGCACGGGAGGGGAGAGGGGAGCAAAGCACCGGAAACCAGGAAGGAGGCTCCTCTGGGTGAGAAATGACTGTGTTTTGACTTCATCAGTAGCAGTGTGCATGGAGAGAGGTGGACTGATTCAAGACATGTTTTGGAGGTAGAAAATAGCTAGGTCTCAGGATTGTGCACCAGGGCGCAGCTCCGAGCTTGAGGAGGTGCTGACTGCAGCAGTTTCATTCTCGGAGCAAAAGGACAATGCTGAAACTGGTATTTTATTCTTTGTTACGTGTTCAGAATTTGTGAAATATTTTAAAGAAATAAGTGAAACTACTTAAACTCTTCAAATGCATTTTATCTATTTAATTAATTATTTTTCTGAGATAGTCTCTCTCTGTCACTCAGGCTGGAGTGCAGTAGCACAATCTCAGCTCACTGCAACCTCCACCTCCCGGGTTCAAGTGATTCTTCTGCCTCAGCCTCCCAAGTAGCTGAAATTACAGTCATACACCACCACATTCGGCTAATTTTTGTGTTTTTAGTAGAGATGAGTTTCATCATGTTGGCCAGGCTGGTCTCAAACTCCTGACCTCAGGTGATCTGCTTGCCTTGACTTCCCTAAGGGCTAGGATTACAGGTGTGAGCCACCATGCCCGGCCAAATGCATTTTATTTATTTTTGTTTTTTAAATTTTTATATGATTTATTTATTTATTGAGATGGAGTTTGCTCTTGTTGCCCAGGCTGGAGTACAGTGGCACAGTTTTGGCTCACTGCAACCTCTACCTCTCGGGTTCAAGTGATTCTCCTGCCTCAGCCTCCCGAGTAGCTGGGATTACGGGCATGCGCCACCACACCTGGCTATTTTTTGTATTTTTAGTAGAGACGGGGTTTCTCCGCTTTGGTCAGGCTGATTTCAAACTCCCAACCTCAGTTGATCTGCCCAACTCAGCCTCCCAAAATGCTGGGATTACAGGCGTGAGTCACAGTGCCCAGCCATGCATTTTATGTATTATGAAACATCAAGTAAAATGTACAATAATAAAAATATAAACATTGCTTATTATCATTCTAATATAAGTTGTTAGCAGATAAAATTAATGAAAATACTATTTAAAAAATCCTGAAGAGCCCATATTGCTACTACAAAGTGGCTGATGTTACCTTTCAATTAGATATGGAATGCAGGTCGGGAGAGCAGCTGAGCACTATATTTTATTTTATTTTTGAGATGGAGTCTTGCTCTGTCGCCTGGGCTGGAGTGCAATGGAGCAATCATGGCTCACTGCAGTCTTGTCATCCCCGGTTCAAATGATCCTCCTACCTCAGCCTCCCAAGTAGCTGGGACCATGGGACTGCACCACCACACTGGGCTAATTTTTTTTTTCTTTCTAGAGATGGGGTTTTGCCATGTTGCCCAGAATGGTCTTGAACTCCTGGGCTTAAGTGATCCTTCTGCCTTGGCCTCTCAAAGTGCTCGGATTATAGGCATGAGCCAGTGTGTCTGGCCTATTTTATTTTCTTTGACGTCCAGAATACATGCTGGAGAGAACTATATTTAAAATGTTGGATCTGAGGTGCTTGTGGAATGCCTCCATAAGCAGTCAAGGGTAAGAATTTGGGAATATATAAACTGGGCCAATATGTCAAAACTTATGATTTTGCCATATTGGCCAGACTGGTCTCTAGATGTAAACTGGGAATTGTAAGGCCATAAAGACAGTTGAAACTATGAAAATGGCTGTGTGTAGGAGAGTTGATTGAATTCTGGCACTCTGAAGAAAGAAAATAAGAAAAATTTAAAAAATTTTTTAAAAAAGCAAAAAACAAAAAAGAGAGTCGAGCTGAGATTTAGAAAAGCCTAGGACTTTAATTGAACTAGAAGACATATATGTAGAGACTGAGGAATAGAGCAAGTCAAAGAAAGCTATGACGTTAGGAGTAAATGGATACCGTCAGTGGTGTGCTGGTAAATGTTTAACAACTGGCTCTCTAGGGAGGCAAAGGGAAGCCCCGATCTGTAGTGTTTGATGAATTCCATGGTGTAAATACTCCCATCACAATCAGTCTCAAGTTATCAGTGGCACTGAGCATTGAGCTGGGAAGAGGTGAGCACAGTCAGAGCTTGTGATCTCATACAAGTGTACGCTGGTCCACAGCTGGGCGCAGTCCTGATGGAAAGAGAGGATTCTGTCAGGGAGATGTGGGGGACATGCTTCAAAGATAACATAGACCACATAAAGACAGATAATAGCAAGTGTGGGTGAAGATGTGGAGAAACTGGAACCTTCATACATTGCTGGTGGGAATAGAAAATGATATGGCTGCTATGGAACACAGTTTGGCAGTTCCTCACGAAGTTAAACATCGAGTTACCATATGACCTGGCAATTCTACTCTAGGTATGTTCTCAAGGGAATTGAGAACATATATTCACACACAAACTTGTACATTATTATTCTCACAGCATTATTCATAATAGCCAAAAAGCAGAAACAACCCAAATGTCCATCAGCTGATGACTGGGTGAAATAAAATGTGGTATATCCATACAATGGAATTTTTTTTTCAGTGCAGTGGTGTGACTCAACTCGCTGCAACCTTTGCCTCCCAGGTTCAAGCAATTCTCCTGCCTCAGGCTCCTGAGTAGCTGGTATTACAGGCATGCTCCACCATGCCCTGCTAACTTTTGTATTTTTAGTAGAGATAGCCTTTTGCCATATTGGCCAGGCTGGTCTCAAACTCCTGTCCTTAAGAGATCCACCTGCCTTGGCCTCCCAAACTGCTAGACTAACAGGCATGAGCCATCATTCCTGGCCCATACGATGGAATATTATTCGGCCACAAAAAGGAATTAAGTACTGATCATTCTACTATACAACTTACTACTTGAAAGCATTATGATAAGTAAAGGAAGCCAGAAAGAACAGACTACATATTGTATGATTGTGTTTACATGAAGTGTCCACAACAGGTAAATGCACAGAGTCAGAAAAATAGATTCACGGTTTCCAGGGGGTGTGGGGAAAGTAAAATGGGAAGTGACTGCTGATGAATATGAAATATGAAAATAATTTAAGAATATGAAAATATTCTGGGATGAGATAGTCATGATGCTTGCACAATCTTGTGGATATATTAAAACCTCCTAAATTGCATAATTTAAATTTGAATTTTAGAGTACGTGATTTATATCTCAATTTTTAAATAAATGGTAAAGTGAGGTTCAGCTGCCTGTAAAGTTTGAACTTTTTTTTTTTTTTGAGACATGGTCCCACTTTGCCACCCAGGCTGGAGTCCAGTGGGACAAACACTGCTCAGTGCAGCCTTGACCTCCCAGGCTCAAGCAGTCCTCCTGCCTCAGCCCCCCAAGTACTGGGACTACAGACGTATGCCACCATGCCCAGCTAATTTTTGTAGAGACAGGGTTTCACCATGTTGCCCGGGCTGGTCTTGGACTCCCAGGCTCAAGCAATCCACCTGCCTCAGCTTCAAAAGTGCTGGGATTATAGGTGTGAGCCACTGCTCTTGGCCTCTAGTTTGAACTTAATCTTAAGGGATATTGGGTGCCAATATTTTTGGAGAGGGAAGGTGGATTATCTAAAATTATATTTTAAGAAGTGATAAGGATAGATTGAAAAGTCTGAAGCCCAAACTTTGGCTTTTTGATCTAATTCTTGAATAATTTTCTTAGAAATAGAATTCTAGGCCAGGCATGGTGGCAGATGCCTGTAATCCCAGCTGCTAGGGAGGCTGAGGCAGAAGAATCACTTGAACCCAGGAAGTGGAGGTTGCAGTGAGCTGAGATCATGCCACTGCATTCCAGCCTGGGCAACAAGAGTGAAAGTCCGTCTCAAAAAAAAAAAAAAAAAAAAATCACCCAGTCTTAGGTAATTAGTTGTAGAAGCACAAACAGACTAAGACAATATTTATTGAAATTTAAGGCCAGGCGCCGTGGCTCATGCCTATTATCTCAGCACTTTGGGAGCCCGAGGCAGGCAGATCACCTGAGGTCAGGCATTTGAGATCAGCCTGGCCAACACGGCAAAACCCTATCTCTACTAAAAAATACAAAAATTAGCTGGATGTTGTAGTTTACACCTGTAGTCCCAGCTACTCAGTAGGCTGAGGCAGAAGAATCGCTTGATCCCCGGAGGCAGAGGTTGCAGTGAGCCAAGATTGCACCACTGCACTCAAGCCTGGACAACAGAGCGAGAAACTCTGTCTCAAAAAAAAGAAAAGAAAAAGAAATTTAAAACTCAGGGTCTAGGTGCACTTGCAGATTTGCAAGAGATGACTAGATAATGAAGTAAATGACTGTAAAAAAAACATGACTCAAAGCAACATAGAGAGAGACAGAGCTGGGACTATGGTAGCTGGGGCTACAGACATGTGCCACCATGGCTGGCTAATTTTTGTACTTGTTGTACAGACAAAAGAGAGAATAGAATGAGAAATAGAATAGAAATAGAGAATAGGATGAGATGGTCTAACTTACATCTAATGGGATTTCTAAAGGGAGAAAGAATAGCAAAAGCAGGAAAAAAGGCAATATTCAAAGAGAATATGTCTAAGAATTTCAGAATTAATAAAAGATACGAATCTCAGGCCGGCACAGTGGCTCACACCTGTAATCCCACCTGTAATCCGAGCGCTGTGGGAGGCCGAGGCAGGTGAAATGCTTGAGCTTAGGAGTTCGAGACCAGCCTGGACAACATGGCAAATCCCCATTTCTACTAAAAATACACACACACACACACACACACACACACACACACACACACTAGCCAGGCATGGGGGTGCATGCCTGTAGTCCCAGCTACTCGGGAGGCTGAGGTGGAAGAATCGTCTGAGCCCAGGGAGGTCAAGGCTGCAGTGAGCAGAAATGGAATCACTGCACTCAAGCTTGGGTAATTAGAGTGAGACTGTCTCAATTTTTGAAAAAAATGATACAAATCTCAGACTCAAAAATTAAGAATTCCAGGCCAGGGAGAAAAAGATAAAATCCGTATCTAGCCGGGCGTGGTGACTCACGCCTGTAATCCCAGCACTTTGGGAGGCCAAGGAGGGTGGATCACGAGGTCAAGAGATCGAGACCATCCTGGTCAACATGGTGAAACCCCGTCTCTACTAAAAAAAAATACAAAAAATTAGGTGGGCATGGTGGCGCATGCCTGTAATCCCAGCTACTCAGGAGGCTGAGGCAGGAGAATTGCCTGAACCCAGGAGGCGGAGGTTGCAGTGAGCCGAGATCGCGCCATTGCACTCCAGCCTGGGTAACAAGAGCGAAACTCCGTCTCAAAAAAAAAAAAAAAAAAAAAAAATCCGTATCTAAGTATCTATCAGCGTGGAAGCTGTGTGGCTCTTCAGTCACTCAGTGTCATGTCCACTGTATTTTGCCTATTGGTCTAAGTAGTCACAAGCCTGCCCAGATTTGAGGAGGCCGGAGAGTGTAGGAATGGAGCCCACTTTTGTTTTTTTCTCTTTTGAGAACCCACTTTTCTAAGAGAGAAATGCAAAAGAATTTCAGCCACAGTAGGTGAGATAGTAATTGTCAACACAGATGCAAAAGCAGGCACTGTGACCTTGTGGCTGTTCTTGAGGGAAGGTAGTCATCAAGATGAACTTAGATATGTCTAAACTAATACTTATTATTACTATTATTTTAGAGATGGGGGCCTCGCTCTGTCCTCCAGGCTGGAGTGCAGTGGTGGAATCTTGGCTCACTGCAACATCCGCCTCCCTGGTTCAAGCGATTCTCTTGCCTCAGTCTCCTGAGTAGCTGAGATTACAGGCACCTGCCACCATGCCTGGCTAATTTTTATACTTTTAGTAGAGACGAGGTTTTACCATGTTGGCCAGGCTAGTCTCAAACTCCTGACCTCAGGTGATCCACCTGCCTTGGCCTCCCAAAGTGCTGGCACACAAGCATGAGCCACCTTGGCTGGACAAGTCTATTAATTAAAAAAATTATTGGCCGGTGCGGTGGCTCATGCCTATAATCCCAGCACTTTGGGAGGCCGAGGCGGGTGGATCACGAGGTCGAGAGATCGAGACCATCCTGGTCAACATGGTGAAACCCTGTCTCTACTAAAAATACAAAAATTAGCTGGGTGTGGTGGCGTGTGCCTGTAATCCCAGCTACTCAGGAGGCTGAGGCAGGAGAATTGCTTGAACCCAGGAGGCGGAGGTTGCAGTGAGCCGAGATCGTGCCATTGCGCTCCAGTCTGGGTAACAACAGGGAAACTCCATCTCAAAAAAAAAATTATTTTAGAGAATATTATTTTGAGGGCTCTTGAGAACCCATATGGGAACCCTCAGGGGTCTAAGGATTCCATTAGGAGAAACGGTGTTACAGGAGATTGGGTATTACAAAATAAACAATTACAGAAGTTACAGAATTACCCAGTTACAGAAGCCCTGTCTGTTGAGCTGGTTGTCCAGGCTAGAATTCTGTCCTCCAGGTTCTCCAGCAGGCAGCCACCATATCCAAACAAGCGATGTCCTTGGAGAGTTTTGCATAGGCCATCACCTAGATGGCCTGGTCCTGACGTGTATGATTAAAAGCTCAGGTGAAAACACTTAATAGAACATTTTGATCTCATTAACAAGTAATAGAAGCACATCTTTAGAATATAATTTCATAAAGCCCTGCCTAGTAGACAGATGTGTGTACTATATTCTCTCCTATCAGAAGGAGATTGGAATTTATAAAGGGACATTTTGTTTCTTGGTGACAAAGCCATTTCAATCCTAGGCATATTTACAACCAGTACGGAAAAACCCTCTGCACCTGAGGGACTAGCTGCAATTACAGATTGTCATAAATGTCAGCGACCAGCCTATTTCTTGGAGAGATTACCTTCCGGGGAGTTGCTGGGGAAGAAAGAGTGGAAAAAGGACAGGTGTTGCTCCATATGTATGAGAAGACCAGGATTAGAGAAAGAGGGCGTATCGGGCAGGCGGTAAACAAGACGGGGGAAACTGAGGAGCGTCTAACTGCTGAGGATTATCACAGCAAGGCCAGAAATGTCAGTGGGGCTCCTTTCTCTCAGCCCTGCTGCCAGCGGGAGGAGAGAACACCTGGAGCTCCCTCATAAGCCCTCCTCAGGCAGGGTCAGAGCAGTAGCTGAATTTTTTTTTAACGAGTTTACAAAGAGCTTTCCTAAGCATAATCCCCTAATCATCCAGAGAGATCAGTGTTCCTCAGTTTTGCCAGGGAGAACTACTGAACTATTTAACCATCTTAGCAGGGTGTTACAATCCCTGTTCTACAGACAAGGGAGATCGAATGACTGGCCATGGTCATGCAGTACGGGGTGGAAGGACAAAAGCAGGGTCTAGACCTTTGGCTGTAATCCCAGCATCCGCACAGCTCCCAAGCTGTTCCAGGGCCACACCCTCTCCCACCATTCAGTCATCCAACAAATACTTACTGAAAGCTACTATGTCAGGCGCTGTTCTGGGTGTCTGGGGTACGTCCATGGAAAGAAACAAAGATCTGTGTTCTGATGGCACTTACGTTTGATCTGGAATGGGGACAAAGGTAGAAATAGACAATAAACACAGCAGATAGTAAAGATATAAAGTGTGTGTTTGAAGGTGGTAAGTGCTATGGGAAAAAATTCAAAGTCATTGCAGATTTGAAGGATCAATGGATTGTTGAGACGCGGGAGCCAATTGCAGTTGTAAACAGGGAGGTAGAGGCAGAAGGGATAATATTGGCAATCCTTCAGGAGGTTTTTTTTTTTTTTGAGAAGGGGTCTTGCTCTGCCACTCAGGCTGGAGTGCAATGGTGTGATCTCAACTCACTGCAACCTCTTCCTTCTGGGTTCAAGTGATCCTCCTGCCTCAGTCCTTCAAGTAGCTGGGATTACAGGCGCCCTCCAACTCGCCCAGCTAATTTTTGTATTTTCAGTAGAGACGGACACATTCACTATGTTGTCCAGGCTGGTCTCAAACTCCTGACCTCAGGTGATCTGCCCACCTCAGCCTCCCAAAGTGCTGGGATTACAGGAGTGAGCCACCACGCCCTGCAGCTTTTGTGAGGGCTAAAGGGGAAGAAGATGCAGGTACAGTGCTGGGCCCCGAGCCTGGCGCATGGGTGCTTAGAGATGCTCATTAGGGTGGCTGTTATTACTGCTAGCAGTCCTGCCTCCCTCACTGGACTGGTCAATGTCTTCCAAGAACCCTCGCGCCAAGGCTCTACCGAAAATAGGCAGCTTAAGTTACACACAAACTGGGCAACAGGGTCAAGGTCCTGCCTGGCTTAGAGCAGAGTGGCACAAACTGTCCCAGGTCAGTGTGGAGGCCACTTTCTGCTTTGTGTGATGTGTCCGTGGCCAAGCAGGCAGGGCAGGCCCTGCCAGGGGGTGCTGTCTCTGACAGAGACCTGCCAGGGGGTGCCGTCTCTACTGTTTTGACCAAAGTAGAAGCTGGAAAGCCAGAGTAGAATAGAGCAATGCTGAAAGAAACAGCAGTGTAAGGCCAGGGTTCCCCCAGACTCCTTTAGACTGCGAGCCCCGCGCCGTACGGCTAGGTGATGGTTCAGGGACTGAGGACATCCAGCAGAGTCGGCAGGACTGGGGTCTGACTGAGGACGGCCAGCAGAGCCGCAGGACTGGGGTCTGTGACTGAGGACGGCCAGCAGAGCCACAGGACTGAGGTCTGACTGAGGACGACCAGCAGAGCCGCAGGACTGGGGTCTGTGACTGAGGACGGCCAGCAGAGCCACAGGACTGAGGTCTGACTGAGGACGGCCAGCAGAGCCGACAGGGCTGAGGTCTGACTGAGGACGGCCAGCAGAGTCGGCAGGACTGAGGTCTGACTGAGGACGGCCAGCAGAGCCGGCAGGACTGGGGTCTGTGACTGAGGACGGCCAGCAGAGCCACAGGACTGAGGTCTGACTGAGGACGGCCAGCAGAGCCGGCAGGACTGGGGTCTGTGACTGAGGATGGCCAGCAGAGCCACAGGACTGAGGTCTGACTGAGGACGGCCAGCAGAGCCGGCAGGACTGGGGTCTGTGACTGAGGACGGCCAGCAGAGCCACAGGACTGAGGTCTGACTGAGGACGGCCAGCAGAGTCGGCAGGACTGGGGTCTGACTGAGGACGGCCAGCAGAGTCGGCAGGACTGGGGTCTGACTGAGGACGGCCAGCAGAGTCGGCAGGACTGGGGTCTGACTGAGGACGGCCAGCAGAGCCGGCAGGACTGGGGTCTGTGACTGAGGACGGCCAGCAGAGCCACAGGACTGAGGTCTGACTGAGGACGGCCAGCAGAGCCGGCAGGACTGGGGTCTGTGACTGAGGACGGCCAGCAGAGCCACAGGACTGAGGTCTGACTGAGGACGGCCAGCAGAGCCGGCAGGACTGGGGTCTGTGACTGAGGACGGCCAGCAGAGCCACAGGACTGGGGTCTGACTGAGGACGGCCAGCAGAGCCGGCAGGACTGGGGTCTGACTGAGGACGGCCAGCAGAGCCACAGGACTGAGGTCTGACTGAGGACGGCCAGCAGAGCCACAGGACTGGGGTCTGACTGAGGACGGCCAGCAGAGCCGGCAGGACTGGGGTCTGACTGAGGACGGCCAGCAGAGCCGCAGGACTGGGGTCTGACTGAGGACGGCCAGCAGAGTCGGCAGGACTGGGGTCTGACTGAGGACGGCCAGCAGAGCCACAGGACTGAGGTCTGACTGAGGACGGCCAGCAGAGCCGCAGGACTGGGGTCTGACTGAGGACGGCCAGCAGAGCCGCAGGACTGGGGTCTGACTGAGGACGGCCAGCAGAGCCGCAGGACTGGGGTCTGACTGAGGACGGCCAGCAGAGCCGGCAGGACTGGGGTCTGTGACTGAGGACGGCCAGCAGAGCCACAGGACTGGGGTCTGACTGAGGACGGCCAGCAGAGCCGGCAGGACTGGGGTCTGACTGAGGACGGCCAGCAGAGCCACAGGACTGAGGTCTGACTGAGGACGGCCAGCAGAGCCGCAGGACTGAGGTCTGACTGAGGATGGCCAGCAGAGCCGGCAGGACTGGGGTCTGTGACTTAGGACGGCCAGCAGAGCCGCAGGACTGGGGTCTGTGACTTAGGAGGGCCAGCAGAGCCGCAGGACTGGGGTCTGACTGAGGACGGCCAGCAGAGCCGCAGGACTGGGGTCTGACTGAGGACGGCCAGCAGAGCCACAGGACTGGGGTCTGTGACTTAGGACGGCCAGCAGAGCCGCAGGACTGGGGTCTGTGACTTAGGAGGGCCAGCAGAGCCGCAGGACTGGGACCTGTGACTTAGGAGGGCCAGCAGAGCCGCAGGACTGGGGTCTGACTGAGGACGGCCAGCAGAGCCGCAGGACTGGGGTCTGTGACTTAGGAGGGCCAGCAGAGCCGCAGGACTGGGACCTGTGACTTAGGAGGGCCAGCAGAGCCGCAGGACTGGGGTCTGACTGAGGACGGCCAGCAGAGCCGCAGGACTGGGGTCTGTGACTTAGGAGGGCCAGCAGAGCCGCAGGACTGGGACCTGTGACTTAGGAGGGCCAGCAGAGCCGCAGGACTGGGGTCTGACTGAGGACGGCCAGCAGAGCCGGCAGGACTGGGGTCTGTGACTGAGGATGGCCAGCAGAGCCGCAGGACTGGGGTCTGTGACTGAGGACGGCCAGCAGAGCCGGCAGGACTGGGGTCTGTGACTGAGGACGGCCAGCAGAGCCGCAGGACTGGGGTCTGTGACTGAGGACGGCCAGCAGAGCTGCAGGACTGGGGTCTGTTTGCTTCTTCCACTGCTGTTGGGTCTGCTGCTTGCTCTGGGGGAGGGGAGGTCTTTCTTGTAGGTAGAGGAAACAATTAACTGCGAGGGATGAATAAAAGGAAGCCAAAAAGGCACCCTTGACCCTCTGCGTCCGCCTGGGTGCCAGCAGTTTCACCTCTAGCCACTCATTCAAGTAAAGACTCTGGCATCTTAACGTTTTCGGTGTGTGAAATTTTTGGTTCAAACAAAATTTGAACTTAGACGTATGAACAAGAAAAAAATATTTTAAAATGTTGCTCCATTAATGGGGGACTCTCTAGTTCCCCTTTTTAAGGTGCTGGCTTTCTTCTAAACCCCTAGACTCTGGAGCATAATTTAAAAATCGCTGAGTTAAAGCATTTCAGCCACTCTGTTAAAAAGTAAACAGCTTGGTTTGGTAAAATATTAAGCTACTTTAAAATTACTAATACATTATGGCAGGTGGTGACGTTCTCCTGTGTAGGGAGGGCGGGGTGGGGGGGCTAATAGACTCCTTAGAGGATTTAAAGCAATACAGTGGACCCACTGCCCAGAAAAATGCACATACCTGAATCCTGTCTCTAGCTGTATATGGGAAATGGTCCATGGACCATAGGTTAAGGACCCCTCTCTTGTGGTAGATTGGTTTATGTGATTTATTTTCTAATCGGATTAATATTTAAGGCTTGGGGCACAGAAGAGTGAGTTTTGAAAAAGGGAGGAAGGAGAAGTAGAGCGAGAGAATCAGGATCTTGCTGGTAGAGCCCAGGAATGTGTTTTTAACATACTCTCCAGGCAGTTCTGATCAGACAACTGTAGGCCCCTGAGGTCTAGAGCCAGTACACCCAGGCCCTACTGAGTCAGCAATCCTAAGATCGTGGGAGGAGGGAGGGAGACTGGAAGGAGCACAGCAGCCAGAGAACAATGGGAAGTGTCCTCTCCCCCTCAGCCCGCCTCTTCACCATGGGAGGTCGAGGTCGCAATGCCCCTGAGCCTCAAGCAGCCCATCCACACAAAGCTTGAGCAGAAGCACCCTGAAACAAGAAGTGCAAAAACCAGGAGTTCACAAAACACCCACCGGGGCTGGGCCTGAGAGAAAGTCTCCTCTGAGGGACTCCTGTTCCAAATGCTGACATTTCTCCATGATTTTCCATGTTCCTGTGCTAAGCGGAATTCACTGGTACTTCCCAGCAAAGGGCTAGTCTCTCCTTAACAGGGAACTTTTAGAGTTTGCTGGAAGTAACATAGAGCTTCTGTTAATTTGGGGTTGATTCATGGAATGGTCAGGTACTTTCCAAGCAAAGAGGCATTGGCAACTGAGTCAACAACTCTCTACCGACCCTGCTACACCCAGCTCCAGGGGATTTGCCTGGCCCACCCTGCCCTCATTGGGTTGTTTTTTTTTTTGAGGCAGTGTCTCACTTTGCCACCCAGGCTGGAGTGCAGTGGCGTGATCACGGCTCACTGCAGCCTCCACCTCCCACACTCAATGCATCCTTCCACCTCAGCCTCTTCAGTAGTGGGGACTACAGGCATATGCCACTACACCTGGCTAATTTTTGTTTTTTTTTTGTAGAGCGGGGTTTCGCCATGATGCCCAGTCTGGTCTTGAATTCCGGGCCTCAAGCAATCCTCCTGTCTTGGCCTCCCAAAGTGTGGAGATTATAGGCATGAGCCACTTGTGCCCAGCCCCTAATTTTGACATTCTCCCCAAAGAATCTGCTTTTTTAGGGACTGTGAGAGGAGAAGAGAAACTTCTCCTCTGAAAGCAGATGCTTTGGGAACAGGGGAAGAAGTGGCCTCTCCCAGACCCCGAGGCATCCAGTCTAAAGTTGGCTTCAGTTAAAACCCAGGTTTACTTAAGATCCTGTTTCTTGA